GTGGGCGGGGTTGGGGTCAGGGGGGATGGGCTGTGTTGGGAGGGGGTAGGAGGATAGGGTGTAGGGGGATATCGTTAGGAGGAGGATGGATATCAGCAATTACTTGGAGTGTGGAAGGAGCAGGAGTTGTAGGTTGAGTGTCGGTTTTCATTAAGTAATCTTGAATATTTTCAATAGTTTCTTCTGTGGAGTTGGTTGGGGAGTTTTGGGGGATAAAGGATTTCTTGTGAGGGGGGGAAGAGAGGACTGGTGTCTCAAGAGTACGGGCAAAGGATGATGGGGGTGATTGTGTGGTAGGGGAAGAGGGGGTGGAACGTTTGTTCTGTCTGTTACGGGGAGTGCGAGGAGGGAGAGGGGAAGGTGTTGGGGTTGTAGTGGTGATTGGAGTATCTGTAGTAGAGATTGGAGTTTCTGGATTTAGGATGGCAAAAGAGTTTGACTGGGGAAGGTAGGTGGGGTTAGTGGGGGGGTTAGATGTAGGAGGGGTGGGTTTAGGAGAAGTGTTAGAATGAGCAGTATTACTGGAGTAAGGAGTAAGAGAGAATCCACGTCGACGTGCTGGCTTCACGCAGTGTGAGTCCGAGTTTGAATCTGAGAGTTGCTACCTCAGATTCAAATTTGTAGGTGGGACAGCCCCTATAAAATACATTATGGGGGCCGCCACAGTTGGCACATGTGCGTGATTGTGCAGAGCAGTTAGATCGGGTATGGCCAGGTTGGGCACATAATGGGCATCTGGCTGTGGAACGGCAGTGTTTGGCTGGGTGTCCTAGACGCCAACAATTTTGGCACTGACGTGGAGGAGGTTGGTATGGACGAACAGGGAGGGATTCTCCTCCTATGTAGACGTTAGAGGGAAGGTCATGTCTACGGAAGGTAATTTTGGCTATGTTAGTGGGTTTCTTTCGATGACCTCTGGGGGGGATGGAATAGCATTGTACTGATGTTGCATCGTAGTCTGTGAGACAGGCAAGTAGATCTTCTCCACAATCTGACCAATCTTTGTCATAGATTGGGCAATTTGTTGGTGAGATTGAGACTGTTCCGGTGCAAGTATTGAGGGTTGGATGGGGTTCTGCTAGGATGGGGTTACCATATAGGTCAGTTAGTTTTGTTAATGCTATGGCTTGGTTTTCGGATGTTACTGTTACAAGACGGGAGCGGTCGGGTCGGCTACGGAAAGAGACTTTACCTACTTGTTTTTGGAGGCATTGTTGGAAGAGAAGGGTGTTGTCAGAGTAGGGAGCTGTGGGAGGGATCACGAAAAATCGGTCCCATTTGGCTGCACTGAAGAGAGTATTCAAGATTGTTTTAGAGATAGGGGTGGTAGAAGGGCGAGGGCGTGACGAAGATGGAGTAGTGTTGATGGAGGTAGTGTTATGGAGAGGTGGGCTATAAGGCTGTAAGGTATTAATAAGGGAGGATGGGGTGGTTGATGTTGGAGGTTGTGGGGGTAGAGGTGTTGAAGTTGGGCATGCTGGGAGAGTGGAAATGTTCCTTGAGGGTTGATTGTTGGCTACTGTACTAGTAGGCATTGGTGAAGGGGTAGTTATTGCAGTGTTTGGAGCCGTGGTCAAAGGAGAGCCTGGGGTCGGGGAATCGAGTGGGTTTACTTCGTTGGGGCTATTTGATAAAGGGGCAAGCCTCATTGCCCCTAACAGTGGGGATATATTTTCATTACTGGCCATGGGAAGCCTGGATTATGTTGGGGATAAAAGCAGTCCACCCCTCAGGGTCCCCTTGAGGGGTAAGGGCTAGATAACTAAATCAGGGGAATACCGTGCCCATGGCTCCCTCAGGCCGTTCAGGACTGGCACAAAGTCAGCCTTTCATCCTTTCAGCACGGCTCTCACACCTTAGGAGGTGGATAGCAGAAGGGTTTGGTGAAGGGACAGAAACAAAAGTGGGAAGGGAAAAAAAAGACCATGCATAATTAGTTGAGTCGAGGGCTGAGTCCCAAGGTTGGGGAGTTCCCCATCATTGGGTCCCAGTCTCCGCCTCCTAAGCCCCCCCACGACAACAACGGGCAAGGGATTGGGGAGGATCACAATATGGGGATAATGCATAGCAACTGTTACATGTTCATGGGTGACACGTTTTATCAGCGCTAGAACGGAGCTTGTAACGCGACTTGTATATTTGAATATAACGCCAAGAGGTGTCCTCATAGCATAGTGTCAGAGTGTCTGAGTACTTGAGGTTGCATTTATGTGTAATGTACTCGTGTGTTCCGATGTAATGTTAGTAGGTTAGGTAACCAAAGTAATTCATATGCTCGGCAAATTTTGAGTCGGTGTGACCGCAATTATGTCCATTAATTTAGGATTAGGGTTTAAGTCTGATTTAGGGTCCACTTAATTAATCACAACCCGGGCACACAATAAATGTCACTGGCATGTTTGGCATTTCATGAGCGCCCAATCATAGATCCGCAGATAGAATGGGTTATTTATAGATTCTCCCAGCTCATTTAGCTTCATAAAATTCGGTATTATTGGGTCAAATCCCCCGTCAATGAAGCCTGCATGCCAGTTAAAACTTACTTATTTTACCTTGGCCGCTCCGAGAAGATTCGCTCGCGAAGAAGCTTGCGAATAATTTTCACGTCACCATTCATTAATGTGTCATTCTGTCACATATCATTAAATGTTAAATTCAATGTGGTAGTTGAAATAATTTTGCATTCCGTCTATAAATTAATGGTCGCATTATTGTTAAAATAAATTTTATTCAACGTGTTGGCAACATTACTGCTCTATATGAGGTCACTCTTACTTTCATTTGAAATTCATCATTAACAGTCACTCAAACTTGCACACAAAGTCACCCACTCACCGACGCAGAACAAAAGATACTAAAACCTTAATTTAATAGGGCTTGCTGCTGTCTTAGTTGCAGGCATACGTATCTCTTTGCCCGCGATTTTGTCAGTCGTGATGTGCGACTTGTACATGAATTCGTATTTTACATAATTTCTTTTATGTTTCG